TCCTTTTAGTTCTGCGTGAAGAGTGCAACAACTTTGGCAACATTTTTGCTTCTTACAATGCCATTAATGCCCAACTTTGACAAGTGGATATACTTTATTTGGGTATACTTGTTTTTTCTTGACATTATTAATTTATCTACAGTAATAAATAGCTTTTAGAATAAATTCGACATTGCAGAACGATCATTACTGTATTTCAGTTAAATGCAATGTTCGTATGCTTAGCTGCAACTCACGCTTTATTTATAACAGCATCAGTAAAATGTTTCGGCTCCAAAAATAAATCTATCAATTATGGATATTTAATTTTGTCAACAGTAAGTCTTCCAGTTTTTTTCTCTTCCAACTGTTTATGTAACTGTTATAAAGTCTGTTGATTTTCAAAAGTAACTAATCAGTTTTTTCTACTATTGGTCATCAATATGATTGTTATTTTAAAAAAATGAATGATTTATAGTTGATGCCGTCATATTTGTTTATATCATTAAGATAAAGTTTTAATTTGTGGTATCAAACACTGAGCCAAAATCGCTACTAATGCCAACTTTTTCAGACTTTAAGTGCTTTTGTTTTGTCACTTTATTGTCAATATCTGTTGCCGCCTTTCGGATACAAAGTTTCATTCTTCATTGCTGCTTTCACCTCTTTATCTGGTTAGTTTTGAAAAGTTTTATTTACACCTAAATAGTTGAATAATTAACTTTTGTCTTCACCTGAAAGTTTTAAAAAACAAGAGAGGCCTTTGAAAGTGAAGCGCTTATTGTGAGTAATAGTTATTAAGCATACCATGGCTAAGTATACCATCTAAATAAACCATAATTTTAGCAAATGTTATTATATCTGCAGTTGGTAGTACTCCGCAAGGGCACAGAATTGTTTAGGATTTGGACGCTTTTTTGTAAGTTATTTTACCATTCCATTCACTTATAAAGTGATTAAACTGTGATCTGCTGGTCATTTCGTAATGATTAGGCTGTGAGCATTAATGGAGCGATGTAATGTGATAGTTCTCTTTTTGTGATATCCCAAAGAAATGCACCAGTATACGCTAATGTTATGCAGTCAATCTCACAAATTTTGAGCTTATTGTAAAAAACATTGGTTTACTAAACTAATTACTGCTTTTGTTATATTATTACTATCAGTATTGGTATTCTTATTGTTAATAATAACCTTTTTACAGTTAGGTTGTTTTTACTTGCTTAGCTGTATTTCTAGAACCTGCAAAAGGTGGGAAAGTCAAAACTTATGAGAGCGCGTGTAGTATTAGAGCGTCAGTCTGATACTTACGGCAATAATCAGCTGTCTGATATTCCGAGAATTTAGCTTAGCTACCGAAAAATGAGGATAGTTTAATTTGATGTATTACGGGTCAATTGCCTCTAACTAAACCAAAGTCATAGGATGGATGAAGATCTTAGGGTACGCAAGACAGCATCGAAGATAGTTGTTTTTCCATTCAGCTATAGAATTAGATTTAAACCGGGTATTCTCTGATATTGGGCTTAATTAAACGGGTAAACATTAAGACAGCAGTAGTATGAAATATCGCTGAAAAAATTATTTCCCAAGTCTTTAAAATTGTCAGTGCTTTAGTGATGTAAAAGTCGATCAGCACAAAGTATTTCTGAAATGCTTTTTAATAAGAATTTTGCTAATGCAGCTTTATGTTCGATAACTCTTCAAATGTTACTTAAATGGTAGGTTTTGTACATGGAATTTGATAGAGAGAGCATGCAGATTTACACTTTTCCTTTAAACTTTCAACATCTATTTAGCAAATTGAGTTTAAACTGCTCATTAATGAGGGAGGAAAGATTTGAAATTTAGGTAGAACAAAGACTTTTAGTAATTTGAAAACTAGTCGCGTAGCACTTAATTAAGAAAACAATTGTCACATATAAGAAGAAAGGAGTTCTAGCATCTCAGTGAGGGAATGTTAGCAAAAATTTAAAAGAAGATTTATACACGAAGTATAAACTGACTGTATATGGACGAGTTTGCAACCCTATTTTATGCATCAGTTAATTTTTTCGTTTAATCACTACTGTTTGTTGGTATTTGTTCTTTTTTTACTTTTGCTTTTTTGAAAAGTTGCAGCTGATAATCTTTTTTTTTTTTTTTTTTTTTGCTGTGTATACATGAAATTTATGAAAGAAAAGATTTATCTGACCACTTTTTTCAATTGTTAATTTTGTTAGTTCTGCTGATTGCTTATAGCCTTATAAATTTTATATCTATGCTGAACTGTTAATCTTTTTTTTTT